GTAAGGAACTCCTATGTTACACTGCATACAAAATATGGTTGTTATTGCAATTGTACCATTGAACTGTAGTTTTTTTGTATTTATTTTATTATAATATCTTTTCATCTATTTTGTGGACAATTGTCTTCGGTCTGATGACTCAACACCTTAGCACTAGAAATGGGTAACTTTTTAACTTTTTAAGTTAAATGACAAAAAAAGGATCTGGAACTGTTTTTAGTCACATACTATAAGTTCCATTCTCATAAGCATGGTCCTGGACTCAGCTGGCTTGTGAACGGAGAGGCAAAAGAAACTAAGGTGACCTCCACAGAAACATAGAAGCTTAGGAGTCCTGATTGGCCAAAACCTCAGAATTTAGCCGACTGCTCCCTACTAACCTCTCCACTTATTAGTTCAGTTCAGTTTATTTGTCATATGCACAACTGCAATGAAATGCTTATTTGCATGTATACTCCAATACAAAGAGGATATTAGGCTGACTAACGTGGTTAGACAGGAGGCCATAGCCAGGGCAGGGACAAATGAGGTGCCAGCTGGAGTTTTCCCAGGTGGAAGAACACAACTAAGCAGTCTCTTAAGGAGTGAGTAAGTTCTAGCCTTAAAGCGGTAAAAGCTCAATGTCAGAGCACCAATCTTGAAGAGAATATAGCCATAAATAGGTTGCTTAATTGGATGATTGGCCAATTGAAAGACAGTCGGTCTGACTGAGAGGCAGCCAGACCTCATTTGCACGGGGCTGGTAGACAGCTAAGTCCCCATGGCAATGATCTGGTCACCCCTGGCAACGGCGGGACATGAGCTGCTCCCAGCCTGGGCTTAACAGGAACTACTTGAGCTCACCGTGCTAGAGACAGAAAAAGAAAGTCTTGCCATCTCTTCTAGAAACAAGAGAGGGGGAGAAGGAGCTGTTGTCCAACATGGGGCCAGACCTACAAAGGGATTAGTCACACATGATTCCCCAATACCAGAGATAAAGGTAAAAAACGGAAGTCCTAACTTTTGGTCATCCATTACAAGATACTTTGGTATCTTGGATGAATTTTGTTTTGGATTTGCATTACATGACCTACCTTAATTCAATTGGTAAAACACTTTTCTCACTTATTTTCCTGATCTAGCATACAGTGAGGCAGCTGGCACATAACAGGTGGGCACTGTATTTTAGTGGTAAACAAAATGAGTCCCTTCCTACCTGTAAAGCACTTCAGGGTGAACAGAGCGACATAAATAGGATTCAAAAAAATATTTAAAATGTTAATATCAAAGCAATAAATAAATATTTATTATTTTATTTTAATTCTTAAAAAATTAATTTATGAGTAATACTATTTATTTTGCAGTGAACTTCAGCTTTGTATTTGTTAATCCACATTAGGTCACAAATTAAATAGATGATTTTGATTACATTGAGAATGGTTATTACAGGGCTACAGCTACACTTTGAAACGACACTACTGACATTTCTGTTGTCTATAGAAATATTTTTTTACTAAATATCAGAAATCTAACCTCAGTTTGATATTTTAAGGGTAATGTAAACAACTATTTATGTCAAGTTGTTATTAATTAGTGGACATAAGATGTTGTGCTGAATTTCTATTTTAATTGTAATGGGCTCTTTAAAACAAAAACAATTCCTGGAAATGTTCCTATTTGTATTGATCAGAGATTTTAGTTTTTCACATCATGCATTTTTCAGGCTTGATTCATTCAAAGAAGGGGTTATTTAAGTTTCAATATGAAAATGACAACATTGTTTTTTTTTTACATCATTCACCTTCCTGCTTTGATATTTTGAGGATCTATATTGAACACAATAAATCTGGATCTGAAATCCGAGAAAGGAAAGTTACAATTCTGTTTATTTCATTTAGAAAAAAAAAATGTAATTAGACTATTTCACAATTTGTCCTTGGAATTTCAGTGTTTTCATTACGTTAATTTGCCAGGACATGGTGAATACAGATATAATTTCAGTGCTTTTTAAATTTTCAGAGTTTAAAAAAAGCTTTCACGTGCTACTGAGCAGTTTACTCTAAACTTGATCCCTGGTTTGATTTTGTGACTTGCATCCTCTAACTGCTGGTGCGCAATAATTGACTAAGCATTGAGTGGCTTGGGAACCGTGGTAGTTCAGATGGCAAGGGCATCTACAGCTCCTGACCGGAAAGTCCCGCGTCCAATGCCATGTAGGGGCAAACGATGTAGCTCTAATTCCTTCCAGACAGCTCCCAGATCCACTCAGCCTGCTTTCCAAATGAGTACTGGGGGTTAATCCTTCTGGCGGATATAAGCCAGCTGGAGCATGCTGCTGACCACGCCCGTGCCCTCCATTCCCCCATGGGCCTTTATGGCCTGAAAAAGGGACTTCACCTAACAGATTGGCTTGGGGTTGGCACAATGGCACTGTGGCTAGTAGCATCGTAGACTTGCAGTGCTGAAGCCCTGGATTCAATTCCAGTCTTGGCGTGCTATCTGCTTGGAGTTTTTATATTCTCCCCGTGTTCACATGGGTTAATCCTGGCTGCTCTGGTTTTCAAAGTCATAGTGGTAGGTAAATTTGCTCTCAGGAAAGCTGACCCTTGTGTGAGTGTGTGCATGTTTGTCAGTGTGTGCTCACTAGTGTCCCATTCAGGCTGTATCCTGCCTTGTGCTCTCTGCTTGCGGGGCTCTGGATGCCCAACAACCCTAAATGGGATAAGAATGGTTAGAAAATGGATGGCTGGATGGTGGGCTTGGACTGTCACATAGCAGCAACTCCTGTAACTTACCGAGCACCCTAACCCTAACCCTAACCCTAACCTGCAGTTTTGTCATTGAGAGGAAAGTAACCATAATTCCAATGTGGGCATTGTTGGCCTTGAAGTCTGCTGACTGGCTTTTAGGATGGACAAGGATTAAAGACAAAAAGATAAACTTCAAGACTGGGATACTTCAGCTAAATTAATTTATCTTTAACTAAAGATAAAATTCAAGACTGGGCAGACACCTGGCACATGATGTTTTGATGTAGAGTCTACTTGTGACAAAGACTTACCTATTTATGTTGACAAATCATTTTAATGTTCTAGACAATGTGGAGAAGCAATATAAGTAGGCAAATAAATGTTAGGATATACTCCTCCTCCTTAGGATCTGAATCAAGGAATGCTCATTTGGAATGTCATGTACAATTTTGGTCCAGAGAAGAACAAACTGATTATTCCAGGGCTTAAAGGAATATTATACACTGGCAAATTGAAGGAACTGAATCTTTTTAGTATTGAGAAGAAAGCTCATGAGGGGACCTGATACAAATATTCCAAATCTTTCAAGGCATTCAAAATCATACCAGCAGACCTCTTCAGAATGAAACAAAAGGCAGAGGGCACAAGTGGGAATTAGGTGGAAGAGCATTTTAAAACCAAGATCAGGAGGCACTTCTTTACCCAGAGGATTGTGGGGGTGTGGACCAAACTGCCTCCTTAATTTGAAGGATGCAGCTCGTTAGGTGCACTTTTACCCCATGAGGTCCAGGTGGAACAGTGCCTGATCAGGTCACCTTTAAAAAGGCCTTAATTCAAAGCTTAGGTCACTGCAAAAAAAGGCCACACTCTAATGCCTCGAATGTCACCAGAAGCAAAGGGAGAGGGCCATTGGCATGCTGCAGACAGGCATGTCATGTGCCAGCATTGCCAGATACTATGGAATAAGCTGCTCCACTGTGTCCCAAATGCAGAGAAGGTTTCAGCTGACCAGAGCAGGACCGACACATCCGACTGGTCCATCTGAGAGATCGTTTCAGATCTGCCACCCATACTGCTGCTGAAACTGCCAGCAGACACAACGCCCGCATCATTGATGGACAGTGAGGCTCCATGCTGCTGGCCTTAGAGCAAGGCGACCTGTCAGAGTTCCTCTGCTCACACCTCCTAGCCGTCACACCCGACTGGCTTGGGCCATACAGAGGCTGCGACACACTCGTCAGCAGTGACATCAGGTCCTCTTCACGGATGAGTCACTCTTCATCCTGTTCCACGCAGATGGGAGGGCCAGAGTGTGGAGAAGGAGGTGTTGCGTTTCTTTTTTCCATCAGTATATACTGTATGTACACATCTGTAAACTGTATATACTTTAAAACAGATGAAGGTCACATACCTTCACTGTTGCAAGGCATTAAACTGTATTTCACATTTGTATCTACAAACATTTGAAGTACAACGTTCTGTAGATGATAATAGAGAATAAAGCACCTGAAGGAGAAATTGCAATATTAATCTTGAGTGGAGTTCTCTGGATGGTGGAAACTATTTTGAAGCATGTTTTCTTAGAATAAAGTTTACTAGAGCACGATTGTGATTACAACCCAAGATGTAAAGCAGGAACTGTATAGTGCTAATGAGCAAGAACACTTGATCTAAAAAAGTACAAACAAGCAAATGGGATTTATGGGATGGAAATTGATCTGCTTGCCTTTATATTTATTTGGAATTTCAGGTAACACTGTCAGTATTGTGACTATCACCACAAGTTTTTTTTTAATACCAGCACATCAGCTCTGCCTCAGCGAGGTGAACCCAGCCCAGCCTCCTGAGTACAAGACAGCATTGTGACTGTACTTTAGCAGAAGAGGTGGGCATTTGACATTGCACTGTGCAAGCTATATGGGTTGTGGGTGTTGCTCCTTCTCAGCTTCTGTTTAGCAGCACCTTTGCCGCGTTGTTTAATTCTGGTTCTACGCTGACACTAAAACCATGTGTTATTCATGTTATGATTTTTTTAAACAAAGAAAATGCCCCTACCCTCCTCTTTCCTGTGTTTTATTTTGTGGGAAATACCGTGCACAGCATAAAGCTAAGCAACTACAGCTAACCAGGCTTGTCGGAAACCTCCCACAAGGGGCCCCTGTGTAATTCGATGCATGCTGTTAAAGCTTAGAGTATATTGTCTTCTCTTGTTTATGAAGCCTCCACCCACTGGCCCACCCTACATTTAGCAGATCATGTGACTCTGGTAAGTCATTTGCAAGTACAACAGTTCTCTGTGAGCCCCCATTCATTTCCTGAGAACTGCACTGAGCAGCTGAGAGACTGAAAGGGAGGGAGTCACACAGAGAGAGGGAGAGGACTCTATAAGGAAAACAGTTTCTACAGCTCTGCAGCTTCTGACAAGGTCTGTACCTTTCCTGGTCTTCCTGCCTTTTGTCTTTCTGTGTTTTTTCATCTGGGTTGTGCACAGAATGTGCTGTCAACACAGTTGACATTCTGTAAATTAGAAGTCATTAATCCTAAATTGCTATGCATGCATGGTGTTGCAGTAAAATATATTATTGTGCATGTGGTCAATGAAGATGCAACATCCCTTTTTGTTAGACTGATGGCATATGAGACGTTTGGGTTACAACAGAAGCAATGTAAAAATTTGGATTGTTCTCATCAGAATATTTCATAACAAATGTTATTATTTTTATTATAGTAGTAGTACTCTTATTTAATTGCTATAGCAGCCTTGGTACTGAAATGTGTTTAATAATTTTGGAGCTTTGCACTAAAACACTAGCGTATAACTATGACACTCACCTTTCCCAAATATGAAAATGCAGTCCGTATTGTTGTTCCGGCTGAGGTTACTTTGAGGAGGTGTGTAGTGCAGGGGG